AGATAGATAGATAGATAGATAAATAGATAGATAGATAGATAGATAGATAGATAGATAGATAGATAGATAGATAGATAGATAGATAGATAGATAGATATAAACAGTAGCGCTTACACATGAGAAAGAGTGTAGTCTTCAAGGCTTCAAAGCCTAGTTTAGTTCAGTAAGAGTTTTGCGGCGTTCACAAAACTACATTAGGCCATAATTATGAGTGCGTGGTGTAGCCTAAGAGAACGACAAGGCACAAACTACGAATTTTAAAAAAAAAATTTGTAGTAACCGTTTTACGGCATTTGCAACACAATTAGGTCACAAAAGTGTCGAAGATTAGAGAGGTGTTACAAGAGAGTAACAAACTCATAAAAGAAGGAGGAGAGATAAGGACAATAGATTATGTTTGATAGGAAAGAAGAAGCAAACCACATCAGAGAATCCGCCAACCACCAGCAAACAAGGAAGTTCAAATAGTCCCTCGCTACATTCCCCCATGCTACCATGACATTTTGACAGTTAAAGGGGGTGCCCACATACACGATCGGGTCGGGTCGGGTCGTGTCAATCTAGTAGTCGGGGTAGTTTTTTGAGGGCGCAAAGCAGCCATCGTGGCACAAACCGATCGACTCGGTCGGTTACCTACAAAAACAAACGCATTTGTCTTCAGGCCTGTGAATCGCGCGATCGGGTGGTTTGAGGTCAATCACAACAAGGCTGAGCAAAATCCGGTGGCGCCCTCTTCGAAAAGGTGCAGACTTTGCGAGCAGAGTTATCCTACTAGTGTGAAAAACAATAAAAGCGAAACTAGCAAACTGTGCTATTCCTATTCATCTTCTGGAGAAACGAAAGAGAGTTTCAAAACAAAGACTGCAGCACCATCTGAACCAATGCGCGGACTTCCGCGGACACTTTTTTGGCCGAGTGAACTAAAGCTATCGTCTTATGAACGATCTTTGATAACAGAAAGTTATCGATGTAACTATTGTAACCATGTTTATGAGATTCCAGGCTGCCGCATCACTGCAACAGGGAACAGCGGAAAGGAGCCCTGGACGCCATTGGGGTTAAAGGTTTCTCTACTTTAATTTCCAGGTCGTCGGGTACAATCGCGCAGGGTTGTAGTGAGCACTGAAACAACCATAAAACGATCCGACCCGACGACTCGATCCGACCCGATCCGCTCTTGCCAGTGGGCACCCCCTATTAAGCGCACCGACGTCTGTGGTGCACCTGTCATAAGACGCTTCGCTGTCGCACACAGATGACCCGAGTTCGATTTCCGAGAGGGGAGAAAAATATGTTTGACTCCATTGTTTCTTCGTTCTGTATGCAGGGATGTTGTATCACTCTCCTCAGTCCGGGTTGGCCTTGACAGGAAAGGTCGGAGGCCCGCTTCCTAAATGATCTACATCGTGTCGATGGAGGCGTAAAAACATCCACAATTATTTAAATCAGAGAAGCGTCGGTTGCCTCGTGATCGGTTGCGAATGACGACAGCGATACCTTGTAAGCACACAAGTTAGTCTAGACGTGTTAGTCTTTTAATACTGCACTGACTATGAAAATCAATATATATAACTAAGACTGGCCACACTCCATTCACTATTTTGAAAATATGATAGCACATACGTAGGGTAACAAACATAGTAACGATGTCATCACTTAGATAGAAGCGGCACCCATGTGATTTTTCGGCATACTTTTATTAAATGCTAGGGATTAAGATGACGAATTATTTCCAAATTTTTGGTCACCCAGTGTGTGCGAGGAGATGGGAATGGGGGTTGCATCCTGCCCCCCAGGACAGCCTGGCGGGGATCTAGAGTAAGCGCCAAACACACTTAACACTGAGACTAATATAATATGCACATGCAGGGCTGCTCCGATATTTCCTGTTAGGGCCAACCCGGGCTGAAAGCTTTAAAGGGACACAATTTTAAACGAACGTCCTTACAAAAAAGGCGGAGAAATTCCACAAAACTCTCCCCACAGGGAGGCAACCCTCAAATTTTCTGCGCAAAGCGCCAGTTGAACCAAATAAACTCTATACCAAAGACACCAGCACTCCAGCTGGTATACTCAGACTGCGACTCCATTATCGTTATAATTATTATTATTATGAGTGGTATTTTGGTCCAAAAGTAGTTTACACTGTAAGGGGTTTTTGTGTGGTTGTTGTTGTTTGTTTGGTTGAGTTGTTGTTTTTTTGTAGTTGTTTTTTTTTGGGTGGGGTGTGATTTTCATTTGGTGGGGTGTTGGGTTTTTATGTTTGTCTGTGGTTTTGGTAAGTGTTTAGCAGCACTTGCAACACAATAGGTTATATTAGCGCCGAAGATATGACTAGATTATTATAGTATACTCACGTATTGTAAACAGAACTTACTAGACCGTGCGTTTGAGGTACACACTCCACTTCGTATTTGTTGTTGTTTTGTTTTTGTAAGTGTTTTACGGCGCTCGCAACTGCATAAGGTCATATGAGCGCGCGGGACACATTAAACTTTTCCAGTTGGAAGGAAATTTTGAATTTTGCCCGGGTGGCGGCCGAAGCCTACTCTTATCGATTTCAGACCACCAAAGGATCTTTAACATACGCAACTTGCACACGGGCCCTCCGATATTTTTCGCCCTTGTCCGAGAAGGTTAGGTGTAGATGTGTAGATCTTTCCTACCAGAAGATCAGGGGTGTGGCTGAAAGACAGCAGTAAGAAGAAGCCAAGGAGTAGCAGTAGAAAGGCTGTAGAAAGAACCAGGAGCCCAGAGGAAGGGGCAAAGTAGATGAGGGAGTGGGGGCAGAAAGAGGAGACGAAAGCAGATGACAGAACATTGCTAGAGAGCAGGAAAGGAGGTGAAAGGAGACAAATTTAAAGAAGAAAATTGTTCGGTCACTACCCGGATTCGAACCCGGGACCTTTGATTGAGAGGCCAACACCTTAACCTCTAGGCCACGAGAGCCCCCACTTCGTCTTTGAGTAAGTAAAGATGTGCACTTCCACACAATGACAATGCAGTCATTTGGTGCACGGAAAATGTAAGCCAGACAGAGACAAAACCACAGAGGAAAGAAAATAATTATGGTATAGGACCTTCTCTCAGAGAA